ATGATCTATGCGCTGAATTCCATGGGTATGGGGCCATGAGAAAGAAAACCACCCGAGTGAAAGATGAGAGAGTACGTTCACAAAAGCCATAAATCCTCCCATGCCATTATTTTGTTTGGTTTGTCGGCGGCAAATAACCTTACCGTCCCTAATTTGTGTCATAATAATGGAACATATATTTTGTTTGGGTTAATAGCATTTTATACTACTCTATTATTGCAAATTAACTAACATACCTTCCTACTATTTTTTTCATAAACATGCCCTTCTATTCTATTATCAAAACATAACAATCGTAACCTTCTATAAAATATTATGTTATCTAACCGTTAAATGAAATGAGAAATTACCAAATTGTCATTTACTTAATAAGTACATTTTTTCCCTTTTCCAACAAAAATAAGAAAACATAATAATAATTAGTTTATTCTTTTTAATTTTCTTTACGTATTCCTTTGTATCCCAATAAATATATTTCCTCTTTTCCCCCAAGCCACCGCCGTTCATCGTCATCGCCATGTTTGAAATCTGCTGGGCATTTGATTTGATGAAAACCTTCCAATTCGATACATGATTTTGAATAAAAAATTAGGGTTTCAGAGAAGGTTCGGTCCCCTTCCTGGCTCGAGTCTGCGGCAGAGAAGCTTCGTCAGTCGACAGTGATTTGATAATAAATGGACATGTTATGTTTGTGAAAAAAAAAATAGAAGAGTATGTTTGTTAATTTGTAATAGTAGAATGATATAAAATACTATTAACTCATTTTGTTTTGCCATGTAATTTACAATCTCAATCTACAGACTACAGTGATTATAAGGTGAGTAACGATTTTCAATTGATGAAACCAACACTGGAACTTGTGATATATATTTTTGGGTTCATCATCATTTACTTTCCCCTCCTCTATTATGCAATAGCCAATAAGCCCCCCTGGCTCCATACTTTTGATTTTCTCAAATCACCCATTAGCTCAATTTTTCATTCAACCTTCTTAGTCACTAAGATCACCCACAATATTAGGTGACAAAAAGGGAAGTTTGGGTATGTTTAGCCCCAATCATGAGAGAGTTACGATTGAAGCAGGAGGAAAGTAGGGGAAAAAATGGGGTTGTTTTTTTGGGTGACATAAAGTTTGTGTAATTTTTGTCACGTTGTTTAGATAATTCGGTCGTTATTTTCATATAGGTCGTAATAGTTTTTTTTTTTGTGAGAATATAGGCCGTAATAGTTAATTAAGATGGATGGAGATATGCGGTTGCTTTCCTCTCGACATGCTTCATGATAGGGTCAGTGGATGGAGATATTTTTTTTTGTCTTATACAAGTCATGCTAAAGTATTGCGATCTGCAGTGGTTCGCTTGTCAAAGCCCAATTTATGGTGAATTGTGCACATATGGAGCGATGCAATCCAAATAACTCATGTTAGGCGTGATTTATATGCAGCCGCTTTCCTCTCGACATGCTTCATGATAGGGTCAGTGGATGGAGATATTTTTTTTTCTTATACAAATCATGCTAAAGTATTGTGATCTGCAGTGATTCGCTTGTCAAAACCCAATTTATGGTGAATCACGCACAAATGGAGCGATGCAATCCAAATTAGGCGTGATTTATACGCGACCACTTTCCTCTTAACATGCTTCATGATAGGGTCAGTGGATGGAGATATATTTTTTTATTATACAAACCATGCTAAAGTATTGCGATCTACAGTGATTCGCTATCTTCCAAAGCTATCTGTGGCAAGATTCAGCAAAATAAATAACCACTCCCCACCTTCTATTGTACATCCATTTCTTCCCATAGTGAAAACAGAAACATGAAGCACCATGATATGATTCCAAATGGCCAACTCTACACGTTTTTATTACTTGACGAAGAAGCTATCAAAGTTGGGAAGAAGAAGGGCAGAATTTGGCTAAGTCATTTTCCGAGCTCATGGTACCTACTTTGGAGGCATGGTTCTCTCAATTGGCTTGGTGGAAATTCAAGGTTAGGTGCTTGTTTTAAGGATAAAGTTGCCATCTTTCCAATGATATGCTTTTTTTATCCAGAAGAAGTCATTAAGGTTTTTTTCCAAGACTTCAAAGTTGCTACCTCAAAACTGGAAAACTGCCAGAAAATGGTTCAAGTCTGGAAACGTGTTTGTGAAGCCTACTTTGGAGCTCAATTCGAGGAGCATGGACTTGATTCGAGTCCAGAGGCTTCCACAACACGAAAATAGGTATGTTTATCTACCAAGAGAAGGAATTGGTTGAAAGATCGGAGTTCTAGAAGGCCTTGAACGAAAGGCGTGAAGTTAGTACGAAAGCTGTTATTGGACTGTTTGGTGGCAGCTCACTTGTGCTTCAAGAAAGGAAGTTCAAACCCGAATTTTGAGTCCTTTTTAGAGTAGATTTTTACCTTAATTGTTTCATAGTTCTATTAGTTTTGTATTAGGTTTGTTTCCATTTAAATACCTTTCTAGTTTTCGTTGTAAAGCATAGTAGATTATTGTTGAATGAAAATTGCTCCTACGTGAGTGTTTTGAGTTCTTGAGTGTGTCTCGAGAATTTATCCATTGTCTTTAGCTTCAAGTAGATTCCTTAGCTAATTACCAGACCCTTGTGAGGCTATTCTGAGTGGATTCCAAAATCGTTTAGCAAGTTCTCTTATCAATTGATTAATCACCTCGATTGTGGCGAGAATTCTACCTTTCCGTCAAATCTCATTCGATTGTTTGTCTTGCTCCGTATTCTGATCAAAAGCACCCTTAGGTGTTTATCACACCAACCCGCATCCTCCCACTTCCTTAAACTTACAATCATCCCTCTTCCTACATTATTCGTCCCTCCACCATATCTCAATCCTTTCCCTTTATAAAGTAAGAATTTTTAATTGTAACATGATTATGTTTCACTAATTATTTTTTGAAATTAAAATATTGTAGGTTAGTTATTCTAAAAAAAGAAAAAATATATGTTTTAGTTTAGTTTAGGTTATAGAATGTTGATTTTTGGTTGGAATTTATATTAGGGTTCATAACTTATATTATGTGGTGTATGAAGTCTAGAATTAGGATTTTGTGGTTAATTTTTGTTGTTGTGATAGATGCTATTTAAAATGCATAAATGAGAAGGAAACTATGGAAATTCTACCTACTAATGACAAATTTACATAATGATGTTTTTTTTTTGTAAAAATTTACATAATGACATAATGATGTTGATTACAAAGATGACAAATCAAGTAATGTTAGGATTGCAAGGACATGCACGTGGCAAGATCTCTCACATATTTGTGGGGATGGATGTTGCATAGGGGGGTCGATGGAGTGTATGCAAAATGACATACCGGTGGCCAACATCTCTCACCCACAAGTCAACATTTAAAAAAGTGAACGGCTATTTGTCGCCAACAAAAAAAAAAAAAAAAATTCAAATTTTGAATTCTCCCTTCCTTCCCTTCCTATAAATTCGAATGCCATAATATTTGACTCATTTCAACAAAAACACTTTTGTCGACGAGCCCAGTGCCTCCGTCGCCGGCACCGTTCTTCCGTCGCCGGCCAACCTCCAATCATCATCAATCGTCGGAAAACAAGTAAGTTTACTTTTTCCGGCAAGTTTTTCAATTTTCCGGCAATATTTTCAGTTTTCCGGCGAAAAACACGGTGGGCCGGAAAAAAATTGCGGCCGGAACGCCGCCGGGCCGAAAGAAATTTTCGGCCGCGCGCGACGCCCAGCCGAAAAATTATTTCGGCCCGGCGACGCGCCGGCCGCAAAATTTTTTCGGCCCGGCCAGTCTTTGTATTTAATTTAATATGTTAATTAAGTAGTCAATAAAAAATTACTTAATTAGTTTTTAGAAAATAGTGTTAATATTTTTTTAAGTTGGTGTATAAATGTTTTTTTTGTAATAGGCGTATGAATCTTTAATTACTTAGATTAGTTAATAGAAAATTAATTAATTAAGAATTGATTTAACAATTAATGTTAATAGTACATTAGTTAATAGTAAATTAATTAATTAGTGATTAATTAACAATTAATGTTAATATTACATTAGTTAATAGAAATTTAATTAATTAGTGCGCATCTAAGTATGATAGTGATTAAATAGTGATTAATTAACAATTAATGTTAATAGTATATTAGTTAATAGAAATTTAATTAATTAGTGCGCATCTAAGTATGATATTAATTTGTGATTAATTAACAATTAATGTTAATAGTACATTAGTTAATAGAAATTTAATTAATTAGTGCGCATCTAAGTATGATATTGTGTAAATTTGTAGATAAGATATGGATGATGCGGGTGGGAGTGAGTTGCATAGATTCGATGGTAGGGTTGTTGATGCATCAACACGAAGGAAGAGATCACTTAGGGTTGTAAATCAGTCACAGGCTCCTACTGTAGTTGCTCGTTCGTCATTAGGGGCGTCTGGCTCCCATGGGGGGAACCAGGGTGCTGCATCGAGAGTGGTCTCGGCTGAGTTTGATGAGGACGATAATGATGAGGATATCGAGGTCCCTCCACCTACGCGTGGACATGGACGAGTGCAGGATCGTACGGCAACATCACGTCCTGCTATGTATAGGGACCGAGCTGGGCGATTCGTACCACCTGCTCGTGAGGAGACAGAGAGCTCGGGGACTGGACGGAGTAAGGGAGGACGTTCGAGTGGTCCTCCACCGTGGGAGCTTGTTGGTGAGTGTCCTGGTGGACCTACGGATCCTAGCCTCATTAGGAGCTTCCGTGGCCACGCTTCCTACGCACTTTGGACGGGGCTTGGAGATCGAGGGGTCATCAGTTGCTACACCCGTACAGGGGCGGTTGATTATCTTGGGAGCTACGTGTTTACTCATGTTGAGGCGGAGGATCTGGTTCAGCAGTCAGGTCTCCAGCACCTGATCTACTCTATGTTCCGCAGGATAGCGATTGACGAGGCTTTGATCTCAGCTTTTGTGGAGAGGTGGCAGCCAGACACGAACACCTTCCGCTTTCCTTTTGGAGAGATGACGATCCTCCTCCACGATGTTCAGTACTTACTGCAGATTCCTGTTGAGGGACGACTGATGAGTAGGACTTCTGCGCAGCTTGACCATCCGGAGGTGGGTTTGTGTGCGCTTCTTGGGATGAACTCGGAGCAGTTGAGTGGTCGTTCGGAGGCCCCTGGATTTGGTAGTAAGGGTAAGTGGTACGAGAAGGGTGGTTTTCTTGCGGAGATGGCGTCCAGATACTTGCAGGTGAACGGGACACATGTGACAGAGGCGCAGTCGTACTTGTTGTTGATGTTGGGGTCCACTTTGTTTGTGGACAATCGAATGTAGTGGTTGTTCACATAGTGCAGTGATAAGAACATGGTTGGTGGCAAAGTACCTGGGTCCGCATCAATAGGCAATACAGTATAGGCATCATCGTAGCGGTTGGGTAGTGGACGGTTTGCATTATTGACATCAAACACCTGGTATGTGAAGACCATGACAGCGATGTTGTAGATGGTGGCAAACACGAACAAGTCCTCAGAATCCATCCATCGCCCCATTGGTGCGGAACCCGCCTCGAGCCAATTGATGCGGTCAATGTGAGCTAGTGGACCACCATTATACAAGTTCTCGTACTTCCAGAAATGTTGTTGGATTTCTTGGACAATCGTCGATCTCATGAGCAGATAGTGACTATCATCCCCATAAATACAATGAGAAAGTGCCCTAAAACCACAATGGCCGTCTGGACTAGGGTTGAAATCGCCTACCAACAAAGGTCGAACAAACTCTGGAAAAAGCTTATCGATGTAAGGGTAAGAATATTGCCCTGGGGGGCTCTGGGATGAGTAATCTACAAAAATATACCAAACAGTCAAAATTACTTGGACAAAATTTACAAACATAAACCAATTACTACTAGATGGACTACAATATTTAACCAATTACTCACCTGTATCATGCTCGTCGGATTCACCTCCACTCGATCGGGATCTGCCTCCACTCGATCGGGATCTGCCTCCACTCGATCGTCCCCTGCCTCCACTCGAACCAGGCCCAGTACTCCTCGAACGAGACCGCTCATAATATGAACGAATGCGACTGGTGCTTGTTCGAGGCCGTCCTCTCGGATTCTCATTCACTTCCGGTTCCCTCACATTGTCCTCTGCTGGGTGAAGCCCATAGAATAGGGCATCTCTTGTTTGTCTCACTGCTTCAGGACCTCTTTCTTCCACCTCAACAGTAAGACGCCTAAAGTGTTCTCGTTTAAGCTCAATTTCATCATTGACTTGTTGTTGACGTGGGGGGTTTTTATAATCCAAAGTCCGCCAAAATACATGCAACTCTTGAGCATAGAATTGACGTCCTTCTTCCTTAGCTTGAACAACCTGGCAAGCACACTTGAGCCCATGTGTCATCTGAAAATGACACGCACAACGGTCCTTCAACTCCGCCGCCCCATCTAACATCAGTTTGATTGCCTCACAACTAACGACCCTCCTCAAAAACGTGCACGGAGGCTCAATTGCCCTACTCAGATTGCGGTTAAGTGACTCGTGTAGCTCATTCACCACTTCTAGAAACTGATGTTCCATGTAGTTGTGGTTCTTCGCAAAACAAGTGTCAATCGCTCCTCTACCAGACACAAGGAAACTCTTGAATGAAGAGTGAGATGACTCAACTCTATTCGAGCTCGTGTTACCAAGATGAAACACATGGTTCGTGTAGCACTTTGCCCACATTGTCTGACAAGGCAACCACTCACCTCGCACGTAGTCAACCATTTTTATGTTCTTCTGTGTCCAGACCCTCTCAAACTGATTAATCTTTTGAAGAAAACCCTCCTGAGTCCAACTCCATGCAGCTTTGTTAAAATATTTCTTCCATACCGCTTCTGCTACCTCTCTTTTTGAAATTCCACCCAGTAATTGCTCAAACTTTTGCTTCACACAGTTGTTGACGTGCCATAAACATAGTAGGTGGACAGTATGTGGGAGAGGGAAGACCAGGGGCATAGAAGCAAGCAGACCACCTTCTTTGTCTGTCACAATGACATTCGGAACCGTATCACCGAGCAACCCTTTAATACATCGCAGCACCCACTCATATGTTTCCTTTGTTTCCTGCTTAATAATTGCACATGCAATGTTGAAATTCTTCTTGACTGGAGTAACCCCAATAATCTCAACCCATGGCCAGCCATACCTATTCGTCTTGTAGGTCGAGTCAATGATGATGACGTACGGCCATGCATGCAACATCTGAATGGACGTCGGGTGCGCAAAAAACAGATTAGTGAGCACATTATTAGAGTCCTTTTGCAAACAGATATGGTACCCACGTTGTTCAGCTCCATGAAGCGCAAACTGTATCGCATCCATTTCACCCATCTCATCCAATCTGTTCTTGTAATTTATGTTGTACATCTGTTTGATATCATGACTCACACCCCCTTCAGTATTGAGTGTCGTCTTCTGCTGATTTGGTCTCACCCTCGCCTTCCTCATTAATCTTAACCTCTCTTTTTCAGCCTCACTAAACTGTTTGTTGTGTCGGTGATGTTCTGGATACAACACCTTTTCATGGTTGTGAAACCCTCTATTAGCTCCGGTTTCACGACTTGTCACTCCCACTAGGACCCATGTGTTTGGACCATCCTTTTGCCATACTTCCTTAATACATATATGAAACTGGCAACCAGTACCCTTCGAACTAATATTCCCACGCGTCTCCTTCGTAGGGTCTGGTTTATAAGACTTAACGATCCTACTGCTTCTGTCGCAATACATACAGAGGGCAGTAACAGGATGTAGTCCAGCAGTATTCGGTTTCCATGCTCCTCTAACAATAAAGAACCCACACTCCTGAGCGATTGCTTTTGCAGCTAACTCAGCTAACTCCACACTTGCATAATGGATCCCATTCTCAAATTCTGCTGTGTAATCATGATCGGCCGGGAACCACTCTGACATTTTTCCTACAATTACAATATAACACATCAATATTCTTGTGAACCTAAACGCTAATTTCAACTCTTAACCGCTAAATTCAACTACTAAACGCTAAATTCAACTCCTAAAATCGAATTTTTCCGACGATTTGCAACGAACAGGGTGTGCCGAAAATTTCCGGCGGCCGGAACCTGGCCGGGCCGAAAACTTCTGGCGGCCGGAACCTGGCCGGGCCGAAAGTTTCCGGCGGCCGGAACCTGGCCGGGCCGACGGAAATCGGTGGCCGCCGGAAATTTTCGGCCCACCCTCTGTTCGTTGCAAATCGTCGGAAAAATTGTTCGAAACTACAAAAAAATTGACGCACCTGCTTAGTGATGATTCATGGATGCGTGCCCGCAGTTTACGTCGAGGATGGGCTTTCCCGATGGTTTTCCGGCGACTTTTCCGGCGAGCGTCGATTTTTTCTGATTCAATACGTTTTCTGAAAGTTGAATATGTTGTAGATTGTGAAACTTTTTAACCAAAGATGTACATATATACTTTTTTTTTTAGTTGGCGGCAAATAGCAATTTGTTTGGCGGCAAATAGCAAGCCCCTTAAAAAATATAGATTTGTTATCATTTGATTACCAATAAATTTTATGATGTACAAATCTAAGTGAAAGTCAAGCACCATAAGGCAAAACACTTATCAACCTACTGTCATAAACTACACAAACAACATGATATATACCAAGTTACTGTATGTTGTCATTGTGATTCACAATGTCAGCCCAATATGCACAATAGAGGGCAAGGTTTGCTAACAAATAGATGAAATGATCCATTCGCCCACAAATCTCCATGCAAACAGCTTGAGCAACGAGATCCAACGAAGATGAGGGGAGGTAGGTGACCTAGCTGGCTAGCTGCAATACGATGAGGGATCATGATTGCGAGTGACCCAGGCACCCGCCCGTCAACCATCCGCCCCCCCCCCCCCCCCCCCCCTCCGGGTTGCCACTTAGCCTATCCGTCACCTGCCCACCAACTCATCCACATTATGCTGATTGAGTTATTTTGCGGGTGGATCAGGTCATATCCGCAGGTCACCAGCCCGCATGCCAAGTCCTATCACTAACAATTCAAAATGTCATTAACAACGTTTGGTGAAGTGTGTTGCATTTTTAACAGTAGAAGACATCACTATTTGTCTTTAGTTCGATAGGTATATTTAATGATGTATGATACGTTAGTAATGCCCTTAATAAATTGTAATACCGGTCATTTTCATCATCAAACATGTTCTCTATACCCAGGGGCGGACCCAAGGGGGTTTGAAGGTGTCCCGGGACACCCCTAAATTTTGGGAAAACGATTATCCAACCCCCGGTGGTAATTTACGTACGAACAAAAAATTATAATTGATAGTGAGAGACTCCCCTGAAATTTGAAAAAATGATTATCCTACTCTCATTTTTTAGTTTGTGTATGAGAATATAAGTGGAAGTTTGGATAATTCAAACCTAGGACACTACTACTATTAATAAAGATTATTTCCATTAGGCTACAACTCATTTATTGTTCGATTTTAAACACTGTGTAATAGTAAATTGACATTTTCTATCTCTAATTATTTTCAAAACCTAACAATTAAGCTAATTTCAAGCTACTCATAATTTGTATTGATTTTATGGTTGTAAGACAAGTGTTGAAAGAGTCTTTTCGGCTTTGGGTTGAATCAATAACAAGTTTAAGAATCAAATATGCGATAAGTTCGTGAATAATTGTATAGTAAGATATACAGAGACAATTTTTTGAGCAATGCAGACACCAAGTGTATTCTACAATTATTTCCGAATATGAAAACACATCGTGAAATTTTTTTAACGTCATACGAGTCGTGTATTTTCTTATATAAGAATTATATTATTTTATTTTAATTTAATTTAATTTTTGAAAAATGACACCCCTATAAAAAATTTCTGAGTCCGCCACTGTCTATACCTGTATAAGGTAATGATAATTATACCCAAGCATTATCAATTTTTGACTAAATTATTAAATAAACTATAGTTACATTATTAACAACTGCAAAAATTAGGAAAATAAGCATTACAACCGTGCATCATCACCATGTTCATATAGTTAAACATAATTTTTCTCTCCCCCTTCCTACTAGCCAACACAAATTTAAGAAACTTATTAACTTTATACACTTTAAGCACCAGATCCAATCCGCCCCGCCCTTATGGTTATGGACCAAATACTGGATGTGTGATCAGTTTCCTATTAAATGCATGGTCCCTACACAAGAAAATTGTGTCGGCCTGATTAAGTAACCCATAAGTGCATTGAAAGAAACATATGGGAATTTGATCCACCTTGTCGTTAAATAATTAATCAATTCCGTTTA